ATTATTATTATTATTATTATTATTATTATTATTCCCACAATAGTGTGGATAATCAAAACTTATATTGCTTCTATACTATAGTTATTGCATGCGGGAAATGCTTGACAAAGTTCCAGAGGGTGATTGGCTATGTGAAGAATGCAAATCTGAGGACGAAATTGAAAATCAAAAGCAGGGTAAAACTAGCAGGGCTGCTGTTAATGAAAATAGATATTCTTCTAGACAAAAAACCATCATTGATTTTGATCACCATGGGAAGGCAGAAGCCAAAGCTTCTGATTGTGTTGGAGTGAAAGATGCTAAGGAATGCTCTTATGCAAAAGTATTTAGCAGAAGGAATATGTGTGATAGTGAAACTATTTCTGTTGCAAAAAAGCATGCTCCTGAACCGCTTTTGAGATCACCAAAGGCAGAAAGTCCCAAACGGGTTCCTATGCTCTCTCGAGAAAGTTCATTTAGAAACTTGGAGAAAGGGAAAGTGAAACCTGTACATCAAGTTGGTGTGGTTAATGACTCTTGTGCTTCAGGTTTCCAGATGCAAACATCTAGAGGTACTAATGCTGTTTTGGAAGTATATTCTTCATGTTTGGTTACAATAAGCTTGAGAATTTGAGAACAAATTACTCATAGGTGATGATGATTTGTGGGAACAACTCCAAGGTCCTTAAATTGTACGGAAAAAATTGAAAGGTGTCAATCCTGTCCCGGGATTAGTTTTTTTTTATGAAACTTTGGTCGGATGAAATTTTATTTCATGTTATTCCTAAAAAGCCCTTGTATCCCTTTTTCTTCTTTCTTTCCCACGATTCTCCTTTTCCATCTCTTATTTCACTTTCATCATTCCCACAAATCCTTTCATCATCTCTAAACAATTTCATTCTCTTTGAATTTGGAAATTGAATTGGAGTCTGCAAGATTGGTCCCCTGCAGCTTTGGCATTGATTGAAAAATTAATGGAAGCCATGATGAGATTAGAGAAGATAGTCTACATAAATTTGGAACAAACAAGAAGCTGGTAGAAATAGAAATATCATTGTAGTAGATTGGAGTTTAGTTCTGTTTTCGTGTATTAAATTCTCAGTTTTGTTATCCTTTCATTTCGGTTTCAGATTGAGACTCTAGTTTCTTAAATTTAATGTTAGTGAATCTCAATTGGAATTTTTTTTAGTTGGATTAGAATTCTAGACATTCAACTTGGGTTTTAGTTATATATTTGGCGTCAATCTGTCCCGTATCACGGAAGAGGGGAACTCCGTTTACACGTGAATGGAAGTGCAAGATGCAGGAGGGAGAGGCCATGGAGGGCATCTATATTCTGCTCTGTGGAATTTGGTTATCTCCGCCCGGAGGAACATACACTTCTTAGCGTTTCTCTACGGGTTGGGATCAAATTACGCTGCTGGTAAGTAGAGCCAGGCAATTCAAGCTCACATGGTCCTAAAGAAGGGTATATCGGTCACTGCAATAGTTTTGCATTTTCTGGCATCAGATTGTCACCCTTCAATATTTACATTACAATTTGAGGACTGTAGTTTTAATTTTAGAATGTAGGGACCTTGGAGTTCTCACTCAAATCATTTTGAGAATTTGATGTCCTAGGATTTTTGTTACCAACCTCTGTGGTTTGGGAATAATGCTTGGTTATTGTTTGTGGTATGGGCGCTGTGAAATCCATTAAGTAGGATTTGTACTTGTGCAGGTACTTTCTCGAAGTCCAATTCATTCAGCTCCTTGATTGCCAAGCCAAACATCAAACTTCGGGAAGAAGTTTTTTCTGGAAAGCCAAAATTGATGAGAGAAACCGCTTTTATTGATTCAAAAGAGGGAGCTGTTAGATCAATGAGCAAATCCGTGTCTTTCAAGCCTTCAACCACAAGTCGTTCCAACAACATTGAATTAAAAGGGAAGACGATCTCACCCAAGTTTTCTCTTGATCAGGATATAAAATGGCCAAGACATAAAAAAGAGCGGAGTTCTTATGAAAGGAAGAATTCTCTAAGATCCAACTGGTTGGCTGGTGGCACTCTCTCTTCTCTCAAAAATGATAATAAACCAGCGCGTCGAGGTTATCCTTCCTCACTATCTTTCCTCAGCAATAATTGGGCCTCTTGGGCTAAAAACTCTGACAGCAAACCTGTAGCCATTTCAAAGTCAATAAGTCGGGTTGCCCAAAAGGATCACAAAATATCTTCCATTTTTAAAATAGTTCGATTATGAACAGGTGCATGCTATATAACCTAGCTTATTTTTAATGCTCTTTAAGTAATCATATGCTTTTTCATACTAATATCAGGTGAAGCTTGGAAGCAGGCCTCATCTGTTGATGGAGTTTCAGTTGTGAATAGAGATAGCAGTTTTGAAGAAAATCCTTGCCAGGCTATTCCAAAGGAGAATTCATCATCCAGTTCCTGTGTTGCTGAGAGACTGCCATTGAGTTCTAATGAGGTTTTATCAGATGGGCTACCTCAGTCCAAGGGATCAACAACTTTTGGTGACAAGGCAAGGGAGTGTTCTGCAAGCCAATCAAAACAGAACAGAACCCACAGTGGAAAAGCTGTTTCATGTCAGAAATGCAAAGGAAATGGCCATTTAGGACAGTTTTGCACAGTTAATGGATCTGATTCTCCTGCCTTAGACTCTCCTGTAAAAAATTCTAGAGAGGACACAAAGGGTCCAAGCGATTTGAAGGCTGCCATTGAGGCTGCCATGCTCAGGAAGCCTGGAATATGCAGAAATAGTAGAGTCACTGCTCAATCTGAAGTCATATCAGCATCAAACATGAAGAGTGAATTACCTGCCCAGGATCAGGTATTTTCTTCAACTGTCAGGAGGAATGGTAATGTGGCACACAATCACGAAAGTACAAAAAATGCAAAGCAATTTGGACTTCTTGCTGAAGACCCCGTAAGAATCAGAGATGCAGGAAAGCAATCTTTAATTGACATGGAGCGTCAGACTCTGGCAGCGATGCCTGTTCTTCTAAAAACAGCCATTCCAGAGTACCAGTGCATATGGCAGTAAGGAGTGATGACCTCATACTTTAACACTGTATTTCAAATGGATATTTTTGCATCACTTTACCATATGAGTTTTACTCTTTTATGGTTAATGCTCTATGCCATGATCATTGTGCAGCGGGGGTTTCGAGGTTCGAGAGAGTGGAAATGGATTCTGTCGGTATGAGGGGATCCAAGCTCATTTGTCAAGCTGTGCATCTCCCATGGTTCTTGATACTGTAAACAAATTCCCTCGAAAGGTCATACTGAATGAAGTATCTCGTCTAAGTAGCTGGCCAATACAGTTCCAGGAGCGTGGTGTTAGTGAAGATAACATAGCCATCTTTTTTTTTGCTAAAGATATAGTGAGGTTATGTTGACCCCTGTTGGTTTGATTTTTTCTAAAAAAATGTTGATCCCTGTTTGTTTGATTTTTTCCAGATAACTTGTTCATCCATCTGCTAACCATCTATTTCTAATGGCACAGTTATGAGAAGAGCTACAAAGTTTTGCTTGGGAATATGGTAAAACAAGATCTTGCTCTTCAGGGCAAAGTTGAAGGCATTGAACTGCTGATATTCCCATCAAACCAGCTCCCTGAAAAGTTCAAGCGTAAGGATAAAGACATGTAGTTCTTTCTACTTGTCAGGTCCTATGTTTTTTATTTAAATATTCTCTACCAAGAAAAACTCCAGTTAATGAAACATGTGGTTCTTTGAGGCTTAACACACTATAAAGACTGGACTGAAGAATTTTATTTGCACGACTAATGTGAATCATTGGATGCTTTCCAGTAATCCCGTTTGACAGTTGGTTAATAAGATCAGGGCTTCATACAGTATATAAGTTTTCTCTTCTTGTGTAGCAAAGCTAGTATTTCAATTCATCCGAATACTTGTTAACACGTTCGTGGTTCTTACCCCTGTTCCAGGTTAATCTCATGTGCTTTTTTTCTTGCTTTCATTTTTTATTTGCTTGCATTGGTGTATGCAGGATGGAATATGATGTTATTCCTGTGGGGTGTGTTCAGAGGGAAGAAAGCAAATGCTCCTAGTTTGCAACATTTTCCTGGGGCTGAGAAGCCAATGTCTCGAAATATCGCCATGGCCACCACATTTCCTGAAAATATATTCTCCACTGTGCCTAAGGTGAACTCTGCATGTGGTAGTGCTGCCTGTAATTCCGAAATGCCTATAATAGAGTCAGAATCCACAACATCACTTAGATCTGTAAATGGAAATTGCAGTACTCAATTGTCTACCCAGGTGAGTAGAGAAGGATTCTCATATGAAAGCAGAGCCTAAACCGGATTCCAGTTTTATATGAAGTATTGTACCAAATTTACGGCCCACATAGGATACACAAAGATGATTAAATGCAATTGCTTTTCATTTCTACATAATTCTTTCTAAGAATAAATGGTTTGCTCATCTCTATCCGTTCATGTATAAATCAATGTGTTGGAGTTCCCACATCTGAAAAAGTAATGAAATACCACTAGCATATATAGAAGGGTGATACTCTTCCTATTAGCTTAAGCTTTGGGTTAGAAAGTGGATCCCAACTTTATATGCAAGTGGTTAATTTTACCCATCAACCATCCTGTTGTTTGAGGTAATGGTTGAAAGTGAATGGAGAGACAGAGGATTTTAGTGTTCATTCTGGCGTTAGTATAAATTACTTGTATATAATGATGGCCATTTTACTTTTTTTATTTCTTTCCGGAAGGTCAAAGAACCTGAAATATTCAGCTGTGCTAATATGACTGGTCCTATGTCTGCTCAAGAGGCTTCCCCACTTGACAGAGAGAAACTATCACTGTTATCTGCTGAAACATCAACAAGTATGCCGGAGGTAACTTCTGTTGGAAGCATGGCAAAGGATTTGAGTAGCAAAGATGATGTGAAACTTGAAGGAATGAGGTTGAACAATGCATCCAGCGAGGATGGAGCTATTTTGGCAAGGCATGAACAGGCATTGCATGTAAACCACAAGAAACGTTCGCATTCAGCAGAGACTGTGCAGCAATCTGCATCATCCTCTGGGACAAGTCATCATTTTCCAATTTATATTGATGATGAGAACTTGGTTGAAGAAAGATGCAGCAAAAGATGGAAACCTATTCTGGACCGGTCTTATGAACGTGATAATGACCCAACTAGTTTCTCAAAGGATGGATTCTTATCAAAGATGAACAGTACAACTCCCCAGGAGAACGAACGCGGTGGAGCTCAGAGCAAGACCGCAATCTTAGAACACATGGGAAATTCTGAGATGTCTTTCATCCCAGTTGACCCATGTTCTGAGGATGATGTTGGTTCCAATAATAGCTCGATACCTTGGAAAGTACGCCTTCTAAAGGAAGATCAGCCATGTGACAAAACACCAAATCTTGAGCTTGCTTTGGGTGCTGAAACAAAGCCTCTGATGGATGGGATTCCATCTTTTATATCGGGAAGAGTCGGGAAAAAAATATTGCCGGAGAATTCTTCAGATTATGAAGCAACAAGTTTCAATGAGGATGGTGTTTCTGCTGCTCTTTCACTCTCCCTTTCATTCCCTTTCCCAGAAATGGAGCAGGGCAGTTCGGTTTCAAAGGCTGAGCAGGAAATTCCAGAAAGAAGGCAAGTCAATACATCATTTCTCCTCTTTGGCGGGCCTGAAAGGGATAAACAGTGAAAAGGTACCAATAATTATCATGTACATTATACCTAGTCCGTACGGATTTGTTAGGTGCACAAGATCAGATGTTCATAAGTTTAAAGAATCCACAGCTTGTGATAGGGTTATGTTTTTCTGTTATAATCACAGTTTGACAGTACATAGTCATCGGTTTGTATATAAAGAGTATATTTAGTCCTTAAGCCTCTGGCACCATAGACGGACGGCCCCACCCCTCACCCAAATGTTTTGGGTCTGAATTTTTGATTCACTGAGTCGGTTCTTGGTTTTCATATTGTTTGGAATGATCATAATAATAGTACATCATGGATATATTTTTGGCTCACTATCCCCCCTAAAGATACTCCCTTCCTCCCAACATACGTAAAACGAAATGAAATTTCAAATTTTTCAAATTTATTTTATTTAAAAATTGATATAGAGAAAAATAAAATAAAATTTATTTGTTTAAGAACTATGTGAAAAGTTCTTTAAAACAAGAGGTAAAATGAATATCTTATTTTATTAAATAATTAATGTGTCATTTTTGAATGATAAATTGTAACATCAAGAGAATATATACGATGTGGTTTGAGAATTGAGATGGTTAAGGAAAGGCTACGTATATATAAAAAACCGATCTCGAAGACATTGCAAAATCAAATTTTGAAACAATAATTTGCAAAATCAAATTTTGAAACAATAATGCTACTTATACACTACATTTGGACTCTAGTTTGTATGCCAAATCTTTTGACGGGCAGAAAATGCAAAGTACTCTCTCCGTCCTAATTCTTTCTTCTCAGTTTGATTTTTCCCTATTTTTAATTTTTGGCTTTGACTTCAAATTTTACCTTCCTTAGAAAAGATTTTTTTGAAATTTTTTTTACAATCATTCAAAATATAGCGTTAGAAGATAATTGGTGTAAATACATGAGGGTATTAATGTCATTTGTCATCTTTTTTTTCTAATGGGAAGGTAATTTTAGGACGGAGAAAAAGAGGAAGTGGAAAGAAAGTTTTAGCACGGAGGGAGTATTACATTTTGTATCAATGTATAACTTTGATGTACAAATTTAATGTAGATGTGGCATGGTCCATTTGGAACTTGGAAGTGTTTTGTGTTTAGAAAAAAGACCCGCAAATATGGCCTATATAATGATACTTGCTCTTGCTGTAAAAAAAAATAAATCTTTTCATTTTTACGTAGCTTATTGTGACTTACAATCTTTTTTTGTTGTTGTATCGTTTTCAACTAATTCATTTTAATTTTTTAATTTCCCTGTTAAACGCAATTAAGAATTTAAGAATGTTTTTTAGATGGTGGAGTATCTCTTATAAAATTGAAAGGGTAATACTCTCTTCATCCTTAAAATGAAGCAAAATTCAATTTTTTTTAATTCATTTTATTATAAGATTGGTAGAAAAATTAAAAATAAATTTTATATTTAAAGACTACATCAAAAGCTTTACAGAACAAGAAATATAAAAATATTTAATTTTGTTAAATAATAAGATAAAACGCATAAATAAACTAAAGTTACCGTAATTTTAGAATAGTGTAAAGTGCTAATCATATCGGGACGGAAAGAATAATACTACATCCGTCCTAAAAAGATTTATACATTTCGACTAAAGTTGAAATTAAGGGAGGGATAATTTTGTGTTGACTTTCCAAAAATACTCTCGATGTGATGGATAAAAGTAGGATGTGATGTGTAGATTACTAGGAAAAAGGTATGATGTGATAGGTAGGGTTTGAAAAAGTAAGGGGTAAAAGTGGTTTTTAATAGAAATGGGTAAGAGATTGTGGGACGCAATTTTTTTGAAACGTGTAAATCTTTTTTGGACGGAGGGAGTATTATATATGAGAGGTTATTTAAAATCTTTCCGTCTAAATTAGGGCCGTTGTGTTCAATTTGAGAATCGTTCTTTAATTTTGGTGTGTTGGAAATCCGATTTAATTTTACTATTATTGCCTCCATCTCAAATTAACTTTTTTTTTGCGAAGTACTATTCAACTAGGTTTTTACCCCTTGCTTCGCACGGGCTCGTATAATCTCAAGTAAAACATTTCTATAAATTTGATATTCTATTAAAATGAAATGAAATTGAAAAAAGCGCAAGATTGGTGCTTGTAAATGTATTATGAGTATGGGGCCTCAAATAGAATCAAGCTTGTATCAATATGTAAAAAGAGGTGTTGAACCAATTACCAAACCAGAACAGAAAAAAATAGATGAAAAGGGATTAAAAAAAAGTCAGTTACATCTGACCAAGTTAAATTTAAAACTTCCAATGTATGGCTAATTTTCTTTGCATCAGTATGGGTAATAGATTTAGAATAACGCAGTGTGGGCATTACAACAAAAACATGAATCAGATACTTGGAAAAGGATCACAACCACATGCCTCATCATTCCCTTTTGAGATGTTTGCATTTTCATCTGTTTCCTAGACAGTACCTTTGCTTGGAGCATTAGATGGATCAACACCTAGAGTTTCATTTGTAGTATAAGACTTCATTCATGACCCAAAGAGGATCATCAATCAAAGAAGCAACAATTCTTTATCGGTGCAGAGAGCATGAAGCAACTTCTTGTATTGCTTCACCCTAGTCTTCCACTTATTGTTATCATGATTAAAGGCCTCATTGCTTCCTCCACGAACTTGGGTACTCGTTACGGTGTAGTTTTCAACCTCTCCGACCACTTGGGCAGAGATTTAAGCTCTGTTTTGTTAGCATTTAGCACAACGATGCAAGGACTGAGTCGTAGATCATACTGACTCTTGTTTGGTGTCATCATCACATTTTGATGGGTATGATTTAAAATTGGAAAGGAAGAATATGTAATTCAGGTGTTGGTCTGCGTTGCTGGCACATTAAGATTAAATACGGACAGAGAGACTATTTGTGTAGGGTGTACCATACATATCATTTGTCTTAGAAGATGTGTTGAAACCAAATGGAGCAACAAATGCAATATAAAGAATGTAAAGTACTAAGTGCTAAATAAAAACTTATATTAAACATACACAACAAAACAATAACTCCACTCATGATTTCTATTTCACAGCCAAACACATTTCTTTAATACCAATATCGTATTTGGAGTGTTATATGTAGTTAAAAAATATCCTTTTATATTTTAAGAATAGTTTATAATTGATTGATCAAAGAAATTGAAACATTTAATCTAATGGAGAAATTAGAAAATAACTTCTAACACCACACTCCAGACTGGATATTACTCAACAGCCAAGAATGCTCTCAAATATTTTACAATAAAAATGCTTTGAGACTCTAAATGGACTTGTACGGAAGTCAAAAATTGAGAAAAGAAATGTCAAAGTAAATTATTGTTCTAAACAAATCACAAATTTGCATTTTACAAAAATACAAAAGCTAATTATCTTGATTAAACGAATACAATTGTTTGTCTACTCTAAGAAGCACAAGTACATGATGAATCATTACGATTGTTGAAATTGAAAAAATATATAATTAAAAAAAAGCATTCATCTCAGTTCATACATCATAGTACAAAGCGGCGAATTGATTAGAGTTACCAGATCCATGCATGTGGGGAGGAGATGAATCAAAATAGTAATCAGAATTGTTACGCAGAGAAGTCGATTAATCCTCCCAGCTCCTGGCGAATTTTTGTGCCAAACATGTATACCTACCTGTGTAGATGAGATTAACAAATTCAGAGACATCGCATGATTGTTTGGTAGGTTTAAAACTTTACCAGAAAAGCAATATAAGGTATACAGTCCCCGCTTCAATGAAAACTATGGATATATTAATTAAAGTACCCTTCCAAATAATGCAATAAGTATGAATACTACCTCCAATTTCTTTGTGATATCGTACACACTCATGTTCATGGCAGATTAGCCAATAATCTTCTCAGCTTGATCATTGAAAACTATGAACCTTGTACAGTCCGTGTCATCCTTAACCTCAATCGCAAACACTTTTTTTACAAACTAAGGTTAGAGTGACCAAAAAATTAAAAAAACTAAACACCAAGTTTAGAGTGATCGAAAAAATTAATAAGTACCCGGAACATTATCTCCATCAAAACCTTCAAGAACTTTCAAGTAATGACATAGGAAGGAACACGCACTTCAAGCTTCCCATCGCTAAGAAGACAAACTCATTTACTATACAAAGGATTCTACCAAAAATGACATTAATCAGAGAAAATGAACAAAAGTGTGGCACGGATATATGAAAATTATAATATAGGGAGTAAAAAACAAAATGAAATTCACTCATTAAAAAAATAGTAATCATAATTGCAGCATAATAGCTTTCTTATGACTCATTTTCTGTAGAATTTGATATCAAAAGTACAGTAGTAACCATCTTTGCACGACACCAACTTAAATAGCACATAGCGATTCAATTTATGTTGGAGTTGTATATAAAATCTTTCAATCAATTGAGGTTATAATTAGTTTCTCGAAAAAAAGAAAAAAGAATTGAAGGGCTGACCAAAATCGGCGTGGATTTCTCCGTCAGGAGCGAAGAATCGATTGTTATCGTCTGCGTTTTCCTCTTCCAATTTTTTTCCTCTATGCACTCACCTCAATCGGCCAGGAGCGAAGTGGATTTCTCCATCGAAAGAGAAGCTGATCAGAATTCTCAATCGAGAAGTTGAGCAGATTTTCCAAGGAACCAAAAGTCACCCTATAAAACCCGCGTGGCGTGAAAAAACTCAGGTCATACTCCATGTCATTCTCCATGTCAACTGCCACATGTCAACCCCACAACTAAAAAACCCTACTTTATATATATACTAGTATTCCTACCCGTGCAATGCACGGGTTCGGACGAATATCTTGTCGATTCTAATATTCAATTCAATATTTTTTTCCGGAATAAAGGAAATTTACCTCATGCATGATTTGTAATAACACAGAAAAGAAAGGCAAAGTAAAAAGAATAATATTTGAGGAATTGAATCTACACACAACAAAAAGTTTGATTTAATACCAAATTTTTTGAAGCTTGCGGTCTTAACCTCAACCTTGAAGATAAATGACTTATCTAGCAGCATTTGATTGAACACATCTGGTTGTTCACTTCCTCCTCTTTATAGGCAAATAGGAACATTACTTTAGGCTAGATATCCGTTTTGACAGCAAGTGCGCATATTTTTTTAATCTCACATACCTTTTAAGCTTTGCATACATACAGCATCGATGAAATAAGTTTTGTATACATACCTCACAGAACTTCAGCATCTCGGAGCAGGACTTGTGCAACAACAAACATCCAACGTTTTCAAATATTACAAAAGTTGCACTATGTGATGCATCGTTCACTCTAGCCTTAATTCGATACATGTGTATATTCATTATATTAATAGGGACCATTAGGCGTATTCAGATGTTTTTATCATTTGTTCAGTTTTTATAGTGTAATGTTTTTAGGCTCTTTTAAATTTTTTTTGTAGAGATTATGAACAATGTTTAAGCAATATAAAAAGTCTTAGAGTCTAATGTTTTTAAACACTGGAGAAACTTCAACTTTAATAGACTATTAAAAGCAAAGAGACCATTTTTTTATTAGTTTTTCAGTACTTAGGGGTTGGAGAAACTGCAAGAGTCTTTTTAAAATTTAAAGTCAACACCATGAAATTCCTTAAAAAAATCATCAAACTATAAATCTGAAAATAGGGCCTGGGGAAACTTCAATCCCTTATATATAAAACAGTTATTTATGGATTCACAACCTTATTATATGTTTCTTGAACATTTAATTTTAGGAAAAATATGTTTTACAAATTCAGTGTAATATAGGGTGGTATTTTCAATCTTATTTCTTTTTCCATGGCACATGGAAGTTGAAACAAATACAAAAGATTGGAATGTAAACAAAAAGCATTTGGTCTTTGTAATGTAAACTAAAAACATTTATTATTTTTTTAATCACTCTTGTCCACACTCTCGCAGGCTTACTCTTTCATTTTTTTTCAAATTCAGTACACGTGGCCTAAACATTTATATACTTGACACCATCCCTACACATATCAGATTTAGATATGGCATTCCTTAGGACAACGAAAAAGGGAAAAAGTAAAGAACAAAGAAAAGAATCATAGAAACTTTCATCACTGCCATCTTGGGCTAAAATTGCCCCCAACTTTCAGCACTAAAAGCCATTGGAGATTACATGACATCTTTATACACCTTGTCGGCCATAAAGTGTATAATCGTGATGCACATATAATCCTATCAAGAAGGCTTTTCAATTGTTTAGGGGAATTGGTAGGCAGGTGAACATCTAAAATTTTCATATTAGACAATACTCTTGTAATATACAATGACATGTAAAGAAACAAAGTCGATTAACAACATTTTAAACTGGAAACAAAAACAGAATAGTATTCAAGTTACCAATACCTTGAAACATCTTGACCTTAGCATATTGAATGACGATCACTGCATGTTCCAACGGCGCTTGTCGAAAGAAGCCTTTGAGCAAGTCAACATACTCACCAAATAAAGTAACATCCAACCTTTGTCTGTCAACCAATGTTAAAAACATTTCAGTACCTGTATGTTATGTAAAAAACATCACCTGTCTTACGAAAGAAACATAATAACACTATACCCTTCGGCCTCCAACGTGATCACAATCATCTTTGTTCTTTTTGACTCCCTCAGTATATCTCTTTCATTTCCAGTAGCTGTAAGAATCCCCATAGTGTCTACAATATAATGATGATATTCAACAAAATTAACCATAACACATTCCATATAATATAATCCACCTCTTTAACAATTATATAATTGAAATTAAAGTATAGATTTGAGTCGAGAGGGAAGAGTATTACCGACTAAATATGGATAGTTTGAATCTGCATGCAAGATTTCCGGAAATGCAACCAACCTAATTCCATAAAGTGGTATTTTGTCACATCTGGTTTCAGTGACAGTCGTCCTTGCTTGGAAATTTAGGCGAAAGTCATGTCGTGATGTGCGATAATATCCACTTCTATTGCCGACGCTGAAGTAAGCAAATACATATACTGATCCTTCCTTTATTTTCTTCTCAAAAGTTCCCACCAGAGTTTTTCTTACAGTGACATGGATAGTAGTTTCCTAAAAAATATCAAGGAAACATGAATAGTTATGGGGATTTCATAAGCTTGAAGTCTTAGGCAGTTGAGAATCTTCAAGGACTATAAAAAATAATGAACACCAAAAAACATGATAAAAAACAGCAGACTATAAATCTGAAAATAAGGACAGGTTGAAGTGTTCAATACCTTAATAATAAATAAATCATTTATTCATTGAGATGAAAAAAGAAGCTTCAACGTTAATTTATGAAAAAGCTTCAATACTTTAATAAAAAACATTTATTTATATAAAGATAAGGAAGAGGATATAAAAAAACAATTTGAGGAGATGATGAGGAGAAGTGGAGAACAAAAAGGTTGAAATCCATAGGAGATATGTTGGCCTTAAATTCACAGAGCAGACCGTCAATCTACACATCACTGACTCTGGAATTCTTATTCTGTGTGTTGATATTGATTTGGGTGATTATTTGTATTTTTATTTCTTATCATTTCAGGTATTAGTTATAAAAAGTAAACAGACTATAGTGTGATTTGTTTTTTCAATACTTAAGGACTGGAGAAACTTCAAGAGACTATAAAAATTAAACTTAACACCATAAAATATGTTAAAAAACAGGAGGCTACAACAACAACAACAACAACCCAGTTAAATCCCACAAGAGTAGGGTCTGGGGAGGGTGTGTGTACGCAGACCTTGCCCCTACTCGAAAGTAGAGAGGCTGTTTCCAAAGAGACCCCCGGCTCAACGTCGAAAGTTGCATTGCTTAACTAACTGATACTTCATTAATTAAAGAAGAGCAGATAGTTTAGAGATCCATTTTGATTTATTCCATCACACCCCAAAGCCAAAAAATGGTGAAATTTTGGCTCCATTGGAGATGATGGAAAAAACAGGAGGCTATAAATCTGAAATTAAGGTCAGAAAAATAAGGACAGACTCAAGTCATCAATACTTTAATAAAAAAATATGTTTTTTATGGTGCTGAAAATAGAAGATTCAAGGACAGCAGACTTATTACACTTTAAGAACGGTAGTGTTATTATCACATAAATTATAAGAATTCCTTCTTAGGCACTATTAAAAAAAATTTAGTCTCATGGTTTTAGGCACTGGAGAAACTTCAACATGAATAGGCACTAAAAAAAACTAAACAGACTATAGTGTGTTTTGTTTTTTAATACTTAGAATCAGAACAGACTATAGTGTGTTTTGTTTTTTCAATACTTTGAATCTGGAGAAACTTCAAGAGACTAAAAACTAAACTCCACACCATAAAATTTGTTCAAAAACAGCAGACTATAAATCTGAAAATAAGGACAGGCTCAACTCTTCAGTACTTTAGTAAAAAGAATTATTTTTTATGGTGCTGAAAACAGAAGCTTCAAGGAAAGCAGACTCATTATACTTTAAGAACAACAGACTTATCATTCTTCATTTATTTATTCAATATGGGCAATTGAAGAATTTTGGTTTTTTATACAGATTAGTATAATGGTGTTTTGAAAGTAAAAGCAAAATAACCTTCCAGCCACTAAAAAATTATAAGAAATCCTATTAAACAGAAATTTTATATTGTATGTAAAATACGAATAAGAGTACAATTCTTACATGTTCGTCCATGAATATCATCTCAATCGAATTCGTCATCTTCTCATCATTATACACTGGCATCTTGTACAGTGAAATCACACGAACCAAAACTCTCCGGCATTCACTTGATGGATTGATCTTCAACAAAGGGTGGATCGGTTTGGAAGCCATGTCAATTAATCAGAGGTTTTAGGTATGAACGTGACTTAAAATGAAAAAATAGATTGATGAAATGGCTTACTTAAAATTTGATTTATATATGACCTAATATAAATCGCAAGAAGGAAACTTACAGCAATAAGGGTAGAAAATCCAGAGATTTGAACCGGAAAATTCGAAAGAAGAACAAATTTCGTAGAGACTAATCATCATAAGAAGGAAAGAAGGCCAACCATCCCAAAAACAATTATGATTTTTTAAGAAAAGGGAAAGTTACCTATTCTTGGTACCGATCGTTGGAATCTCCGTGAAGAAGGACCGTGAAGAAGGAAAGAGATTAATTCCAATGACATATTCTCTGAAATCTCGCGGTGGAGCCATTCGAAGATGAATATCGCAGGGAGGTGCAATCGAAGAAAAGTGCCCCTGATGCCTCCACATAGAGTAGCTCAAATAAAAGAAGCCCAAAGTAATGAATCAATATCCAACCCGTTTGAAATATTGAGTAAGTCTAATATGATGACATGGCTTATGAAGTGTCAAAAAAAATCCCCGTCAGCATGACAAATGTCAAAATTCTAGGAGTTAAACTCCCAAATATAATATATAAAGGATATAAGATAAGTCAAAATTTATTACTTCTTTAATTATTTTCATTGTGTGTTTGTTAAAAAATATATTCATATTTTAATGTTATTAATATTTAGTTAATGACTTCTTTCCTATTACAAGTTCACCACAATTCACTTATGGAGTGTTTCTCTGTGTTGGTGTTTATTGGCTTATTTCCGATAAACAATTTTAATTTATAAATTGTTTATAAGTCAAATACTCTTTCATAGAAGTAAAATGACTTGAATGACAGATAAGTCACTTGGAAATATTCATACATGGTGAGAGACGGTTTTGTAAATTATTTGGTCAAAACGGAGAAACAAAAAAATAGCATAAAAATAAGTATCTAAAACCTACTTAATTTTTTTGCTTATAAACAATTTATAAATCTGCTTACAAGCACACCGAAACATATCATCAGCTGACTTATAAAAGCACACACAAACGACTTATAAGTTCAAACTGCTTGTAAACCGTTTTGACTAGCTTATAAACACAGAGATCCACCCAGTTGATAGAGAACACTTACAAAAGAATAAAAGTTACCAAACTAGTTGTAGTTTTGATTTCATTGTTAAATACTCCCTTTGTCAAGATTTCTTTTCACTTTCTTTTTTGTACAATACTAAGATCAACGTGAAACTAAAATTGATATGGAATAAAGAAAAAACAAAAAGACGAGTGAGAAGTCATTGGGTAGTGATTTCCTAACTAACATGATGAAATATGACTCTATCATACATGTTAGAGAGCAAATCTAATATTTGAACATGTATGTTAGAAAATGAATCATGTACCACAAAAATTAAGCTTCTTATAAGCCTTCCAGCCCTTTCAATCATAAGCTCGGCCTGACCCCAAATTAGATCAAGAACTTTACAGATATACGGAAAACAATAGTATTATATATGTACGTAAAACATGTAAATATATTATGAACACGGGTCAATACATATTAGTGTTATACTATGACCCAAGCCTCATACTTACTCTTCTAACCCCCTCTAAACCCCCTGTACCCCACCCCTTGGAGGTGCTGGGGTGGGTACAGGAGGTGCTGGGGAAATTGGTTTGGGTACAGGAGGTGCTGGGGTGGGTACAAGAGGTAGCCAATCAGCTAAGGAAATTGGTTTGGGGGGGGTGCAGGAAGGGGACGGGATGGAGGTGCTGGGGTGGGTACAGGAGGAGGACGAGATGAGGGGGGGATGAGTTAGGGTGGAGTTCGGGGACTAGAAGTTATCAATTTACCAACAAGGTTTCATATGATGAGGCTCGGGTTATATTATGACATGGGAAGCCAATGTTACATAAATCATAGTGTATTACAAAACCTATTTAAAGTACTCGCAAAATTCTACAACATGACTACATTTCTTAGTATTCTTTTTTATGTTAACTTACATTTTTCCTTTTTATTTATTTATTCTAAATTTTTAATACTTTTATAAGTACATATTTCGAAGAAACACACATTTCATATCTATGTTATTTATTTGTATCAATTTAATTAAATTGCATGTTTTTCTTCCGTTTTAGAGTAAATTATATGTGTAAGTTTTTATTGATAAAATATGTAAACTACCCTGTTAAATACTCCCTCGACCATAGTTTATTCTTCCAGATTGACGCAAATTTAAATTATTAATTACTCTCAAATCTCAATTTGTATTGAATGTTACTACAATAAAACAAAAGTTTGAGTTCACAATATAATGAAATCAATTTTATACAACTCTGTAATATATAGTACTCTCTCTGTTTGGAAAAAACCCTTCCCATTTGATTTGGGGGCAAAAATAAGGAAGTGTTAAATTATACTCCCTTCGTCCCGTGAAACATGGGAGTTTTGTTTTTTAGGAGACATTTAAGGGAAGTGTATTTTGGTATTGAATTTCCAAAAATGTCCTTTGATGTGATGGATAAAAGTATGATTTAATGGATAGATTATTAGTAAAAAGGTATGATGTGATAGTTAGGGTATGAAAAAGTAAGGGGTAAAAGTGACTTTTTAATATAAATGAGAAGTGTTTTGTGGGACGGATAAAAAAAGAAAGGAGAAAAGTTTTATGGGACGGAGGGAGTAGTTGATTTCCAATTTTGCCCCTGATGTGATGGGTAAAAGTAAGATGTGATGGATAGATTGTTAGAGAAAAAGTATGATGTGATAGGTAGGGTATGAAAAAATAAGGATAAAAGTGGTTTTTTAATAGAAAGGGGAAGTGTTTTGTTGGAAGTGGAAAAAATGAAAGAAGAAGGGTTTTTGAGAACGGAGGGAGTACAATTTTTATTTAATTTAAGTTTAAAATTTATCTATTTTGACTCACAAGAATTAAAATTGATGAATACACTGAAACAAAGATATTATTTTTAGGGAAATTTATACCAAATAGGACTGAAACATAAATCATTTCCCAATGTAGGACTTGAACTTTTTTATTCCTTAAATAGGACTTAATAATGACTAGTGAAAAGAATAATGTTCAAATAATACTGGATATTTAGTTGAATAATGACAAATAGGTAATGACCAATGATCTTAGATTGAAAAATAAAAACATATGATCCTATATTGAGAAATGCATTATGTTTTAGTCCTATTTAAATAAATTACCTATTTTACTCTACACCACCTTCCCCCACCGTTTGCTTCGGAGAACGGTGGACACATGAACAGTCTTCTCCATTATCAAATCCATTGTTTTCTTCATTTTTATTGATTTTTTAGGGCAATCCCTTTTTAGGGACTATTTAGTTGAAGGGGAGGGGAGGTAAGAGAATCTTCCCTTCCCTTGATTGATTTAAAAACATATACTCCGGGTAGAAGAATTAAAAGTTTCAGCTACAATCTCCTTTTCTTCCATCCAAATTAATTTTTCCCAATTGGAAGGATTCTCCTTCAATTCCTGTCCCCTTCTTCTTTTTCCATCAATTCTTTCTTCACCTTGATATTAAGCAAATAATAAAATTAAAACAAAAGAATGAATAATAATAATAATAATAATAATAATAATAAAAGTAAACAACAAATAACAAGTAATAATAAATAAATAAATAATGATAAAATAAAAAATCTTTATAAAATAAAAAATAAAAATAAATAATAACAAAAGAAATATAAAAATATAATTAATAAATAATTAAAAATAATAATAAAAAGTAACATAGAAATAATTCTAATACGGAGTATGTGTCCCCAAAAAATTCATTATAATATTTTTGAATATTATACAAAATATATAAAGAAAAATAAAAATATCATTATCTTATAAAACTTTTAATGTACTTCTCGATATGTTAGTTTTATTTTAATTACAAATTGACTAAAAAAATAAATTGAAGTGAATATAATTCCATAAAAATACCATTAAATTTTATGTACATATAAAAGCAGTTATTTTTATTTTATAAAAAAATTATTATATATATGTGGGTCATTGGCTTCAACGATATTAACTCTATTTTGTTAAGGGGAAGGCCCATTTAAGCAGCTTGCTGTCTTGGGCTCTTGGGCTTTTTTTACATATAAATTACATATAAAATCTATATGATAGAAGATTTCTTGATTCTTTTTGCTCGAAGAGATGTTCAGAACTATACATAACGTCGACTATGATTGAGAGGGTCCCTTCTTTTGCGAAGAAGCCTCTTTGTTTTGCACAGGCGCGCATAGCCAACTTGGGGCTTAAGTATTTACATAGAAAAAAAAACTGAACTTTTTCTGCTTAGAAAGGAAATTTTCAAACTGTTTGTGTAAACTCATTATGCTATTCGACCATTTGTATCGATAGGTAGAATCTTGTTTGATTTTATAGTTCATTCCCTTCAGGTGAAACTCTTGGTTGCGGAGTTACTCGCAATGCTGCTAAGATATCACTAGCCTTGGTTTCATAATCAGGACTATAATACGCTAATTTGTAGCTAACCTAGCCTCCTCCGTCCCTCGGAACCAACAAAAGTAAAGTATAGTACAGGAATATTCACCTGTTGTCCATCAACTACGCCTTTCGGCCTGATCTTAGGAAAGAAGGAAAATACTATAAAGCGCTGGCTTTCTCGAAAATGGACTATCTTACGAAATACATTAATTATGATTATTTCCTTTTACATTGGCTGGTAATTCGCTAACCAGAAATAGCACGGAACCCAATTATTGCAATTGCTTAGCTAGTTAAAAATACCTCATACTCACTGGAATCTCTGGTCCGCACCGGACCAGGTGGGTAAAAAATACTTAATTTTATTAGTCTTATTTGTATTAATTTTGTCCCGTATTTGAATAGTTTATTCTACGGAATCAAGTTTTTTTGGGTTATAGTTGATGATTGAAAGCTTTTTTATTTCATCGCAACTCCAGATTGATATATAGTGCGGCTTGGCAGATAGGTTGAGTCAATTGGGACATTCCCCATGTCTCGCCCGATTGAGATAGCCCCCTTTCACCAAAAATAAATCCAAGGAGTCGTCGCGAACGATGCCTTTTTTTAACTCATACAATAAATACTAAGATTGGGAATTGTGTGGTTCAAAAATGCAGAATCTCGCTTGAATCATCACTTGGCAGAGCTCTTTACAGAAAGGATAAAGGGACCGAGAGGATCAGTGAGCCTAGATAAAATTTGTAGAAATATAATTAGATCTAAACTTGAATGAATTGATTACACATAAATCCACTATTTATAATAGCTACAAAACCATGACCTAATTACGAGCCCAACAAGAATGAACCCGTTAACGACAAACTCTATTACATTCCTTAACACTCCCCCTCAAGTTGAGCATGAGGTTAACGAATGCACAACTTGGACAATTAAAAAACTAGGACTAAAAAAACTTGATAAACAACTTGAACTTGATTTGCTGTGACAACAACGAACGAAGGTGACTGGCCCTGCAAACGAACAATAAATTTTGATGACGAATGACTCCCACGCGGTGACACGGGAACGACTAACAAGCACCCCAAACTTGGAGGCCATGTTGCCGGACTGAGGCGCGACAATGCGACCAACCTCACAAACAGATATGTTGAACTGAGGCGCGACAATGCGAAGATAGTGGTTGCACTTAAACATACCAAATAGCAACAAAAAACAATGTTGCCAAAAACATCATCAAATTTTGATGAACGGTAGAGTAAAAACCTTCTTCCGCAGAGCGCCAACAAATCAAACCAAAACCAATAAATAGACCCGTGAGACAATTGCAGTGGCCAACCCTATTTGTGGTTGGAACTTGCAAACTAAATTTGAGACTAACAAATAACTACAACCTACAAACACTTTGTCAACATATATTGCTTAGCTTAATGAGCTACACCAGAGACACATGGGACTGGTCCAATTATTCTTGTCCAGAATACTTGCCCACATGTGGGAGAAGCCATAAGGACGAACATAAAAAAAGTGATGGGCAAGGGTTTTGCGACTTGCGACCCCTAGACCTCGATCGACATGGACTCCCGCGGCTATGGCTATCGTCTATCAGCAACAATTTCATCGTTGAGATAGTGCATTTTCAAAGGATTATGATGCATTTCGACGTAATGCATTTTCAAACCATTTTGTTGCACCTAATTTTGATGCAATCCTGACCCTTTGATTGCACAAGCTAAATCACCAGATTCATTCTCATTTCACAGTGTTGATTGGCGAACCACACCACCCGCGTTCGATCCTCAGAAGGGGCAACTTTGGGGGAATTTTAAGGGAGTTCAGCGTGCTGGTCATGGAGTAGCAGAACTGATGGGTGACCCCCTGGGAAGTGTTTGGCTGTTTGCAGATTAATGGGGCTGGGCTTTAGATTGGGCTTTCATTGGGCTTCTTATAGTGGGCTATCTGTCTCAGGTGTTTAACGGGCCCCGGGGCGGTCACGAGGTTAACGGACCTCGGGCCCCCTGCTTGTAACCGACCGTTCCAATAATATTAATAATAAAAAATTTTTAAAATTATATATATATATATATATATATATATATATATATATATATATATATATATATATATATATATATATATATATATATATATATATATGGGATTGACTCCAGTGAGATGACACCTTACGGTGAGATGACATGCTTCGGTCAGATGACATAAAGCTCACCACTGGTCACTGCAAAGCTCAACAAAGACAACTACAAAGCTCACCAAAGTGTAAGGCAAAGCTCACCATATTTTTTTAACACTTTGAATTTTTTTCCAAAAAAAATCAAAGGAAAGGGTGCTAACTGGACTTTGACTGTTGACTGCCAGCATTGACTGCCGGCTGCCACCGCCGTCGCCGGTCGCCGCCGTCGGGCTCCGGCCGCCACTGCTGCTCCACCGCCCTTGACCGGTGGTTGACCGGTGTTATTTTATTTTTAATTAATTTTTAAAATTTTAAAATATAAAAAAAGGTGAGTTTTGGCCTTTGGGATTCAAAGTGGTGAGCTTTACTTTATTTCCAGGTGAGCTTTGCATTGTCCATTGGTGAGCTTTGTAGTGTAGTGTGGTGAGCTTTGCTTTATTAGCTTTTTTTTTCAAAAAAAAGTGGTGAGCTTTGCATTGTTCCTTGGTGAGCTTTCCATTAACAGTTGGTGAGCTTTCCATTGATAGTTGGTGAGCTTTTACACTTTGACCGCCCATGACCAATGCCCACCACCGATGACCCCCCACTGTTGCCGTGGACCGGTGGTTGAGCGGTGGTTGAGTGGTGGTTGAGTGGTGGTGTTATTTTTTTAACTTTTTTATTTAAAAAAAGTGGTGAGCTTTACATTGAAAGTTGGTGAGCTTTGCATTGGTAGTTGGTGAGCTTTGCATTGGCAGTTGGTGAGCTTTCCATTGGCAGTGTTGTGTGTTGTGTCATCTCATTGAAGCATGCATGTCATCTTACCATAAGGTGTCATCTCACTAGAGTCAATCCCATATATATATATATATATATATATATATATATATATATATTTGATGGAAAACCCTAGCAGCGATCGAGAACTTTCTTCTCCGGCGTTTACGCCGGGATCTGCAAAAGTTGTGCATGCTAGAGGTCTTAACAGGCTGTTCTCAGATGTTGTTGCAAAGGGCTCGAATGCAAAGCCTTTAGAAGGAAGGATTACGGGGTATCAGAAGGGGGTCCCGTCCGTCTCTTTCACGAAGAATGATATTGCAGATTTATCAGAGCGTTTCAAGCATGCACTTGTGGCAACGTTCCAATCTCGGCCATCCTATGCCTCCATGCAAGCTTTCATGCAGAAACTTGGTCTACTTGGTGATTTTGACATCACTATAATGTCTGATTTGCCTATTCATTTGCATGATAGAAGAGCTCTACATCTACTTGCTTCCTCTATTGGCAATCCTCTACAAGTTGACTCCTGTACTCTAAACTTCTCCAGGCCCCAGCTTCCACGTTGTTGTGTTGAAGTTGATGTTTCTAATCTGCCTCCAGAGAGAATCCATGTTCAGCATGGGGAAGAAGCTTTCACTGTTCATTTTTATTATGAAAAGGTGCCTCCATATTGTGTGGATTGTGGTAGCATTGGACACCTTAGGGAAAGATGTCCCTTGACAAAAGTTACTCAGCAAGAGGGGAATGGATCTCAACCTCATGGGGTCCAAGCTCATGGGATGCAACAGGATAATGCATGGCAAGTGGTTTCACGTAAAGGGAAGGCTAAAAACCCTGTTAGGGTTTGGAAGGAAAAGGAACGTCCAAAACCCATGCACTTAGTGCCTTGGTCTGAAGGTCCTGGTGAATCATCTAATGGGGGTGACCAACATAAAGTAAGCATGGAATCTAGCAGTCATGGCTCCTCTGAAATGCGAACCCCACCCTCTGACTCGGTCAATCTGGCTAAGGATGGAACTTTTACTATCTCAGATCCTAATCTTCTGTCTTCCTTCACTATGACAAGTCTACATGATGTTCTCTTTTCTCAGTATATGGCCTTGGATTATAGCGATGATTGTTTGGCTATTGTTCCTTATGAGGATCGATCTGAAGCAATCCTTGAAGATGCTGATCCAGAGGTGGGATTTTTAACAGATGGAAGGGAGATTGATGAAACATATAGATCTTTAAATGAATTTCCTCCTTTGCATGATGCTTTAACTCCTATAGCAGCCTCAAATTCTAAGGCTTCTAAGACAAAGGTTCGTAATCATGCAATGGTCACCAGGAGGATGGCTTCAAATAGATTCTCCCCTCTTGGCTCCCCATGATTGGTCTTATTGGGAATTGTAATTGAACCCCAAACTATAGTGAAAAGAGTTACAGAATATATATATATCTAACTATAAGACAACTTACATAATGACCCAGAATTAATATAAATTATATATTTTGTCTAACATCCCCCCTCAAGCTGAGTCTGGCAGAAGCTAGAGGAAGCTTGGATATCAATGTCTGGAAGCGTTGAGAGGTTAATGGCTTTGTCAAAAAATCGGCAAGTTGATCTTCAGAGGGAACATGCTGAACAACCATAGAACCATCAATAACCTGTTCACGAACAAAGTGACAATCCGTGCCAACATGCTTCATACGTTTATGAAAAACCGGATTCTTTGTTAGGCAAATGGCGGACTGGTTATCACAGAATAAGACAGGTGGCGGTGTGGCAATATGTAAATCAGTCAAAATATAAGTCAACCACATAACCTCAGATGCTGCCGCCGATAGT